AGTTGCCGCCATGTGATTGGCTGCTTAGAAATTAAGTGTTAACGAGCAGTTGGACAGGTGTACCTAATAAAGTGGCCGGTGAGTGTATAAAGATAGACAATCGTTATTACAATTAAATAAGGAGGAATCCAAACTATGGTGGTGTCTCATTTTATTCTTAAACTCAAATGGATAAGATTATGTTTTTCATTAGTCTGTTAGTGTTTTGTTTTCAGAAAGAGAGGAAATGGTGCCAACTGAAGGTCCAAACACAGAAGGACAGAAACCCCTTACAGCCTATGAAGTAATCAACTTTATTTAGTTATTAAGCATCAGACAGAGGTCAATCCCTGACTTTACCTGCTTGAAGCTGGAAAAAAAATAAATCACCAAACAGCCGCTCATCAGAGAGAAGCATCTCTATTGTAAGGCAAAGGGGAGTGGCTTCATCTAGTCACATGACTGAACATAGTTTTGTGGGAAGAAGCCCTCCCGGCCATTACAGACGCCCTCACACCAGCCGTCATCATGGCGACGTGTCACATAGATGATGTCCCCTTCAGCTAGAGAAAGGTCGTCAGGCTTTGAGGCCTCGTAATAGTACAGCGCCACCACTGGAAGGAGAGAGGAAGTACATCATCAACAACATCCTACTCTGTAACAAACCAGCACTGTAGGGAAACTGGTGGCAGTGGTACCTTTCTCCAGGTAGTCTGGGGGGGCACTGGTGTCATAGTCCACTGGAGGTGGGAGCGGTGGCATGATGTCATCAAAACATCCAACATCAGCCAATGGGAGAGGAGGAGGCGGGGCTAAAATCTGAAGATCTATAAGAATACAGAAACTGTGACTGACCAGTCTGACCTTAAGAAGTGGAGCTTCAACTAGCAACTACAGAAATATTTTGCAGTTTGGTATTTCTGCTCTACATTTTTACTTAAAGACAAGCAGTACTACTAGTAGTAGTCTAAAGCAGTACAGCTTTTTTCTTACCCAGGTGTTCCAGACGAGCAGGTAAGCAAAGTCGAGAGGAGGACAAGGAGTGAGAGAGCACGGCAAATGAGGAAGAGGAGGAGATGGGGGGGTCTTGGGGGGCATTGGGGGGAGGATATGGAGGAGGGGGGGGTATCATGACTGACAGAGAGAAGCTGAGTCAATAGTGAGACAACAGAGAGTCAATATTTTGGCCCTACACTGACCTGACTATTTGTTTGATAATTCTAATTTGCTTTTAAATTAGCATTTTTATTAAAAAACCGGAATAGAAATGGTAAGGATGTTGGCAACATTTGCATGCTTTCCTAAAATGTCCTCAAGATGTCCTTTACCTTCAGGAACTTCTGAAATATAATCTCAAATGAGTAAACAAAAGATCTCTGAAGCTATTCACTGATCTACCTTTAATCGTCAATCTCTCCTGAGTAGTTATTTCACAACAACACCTGCAGCAGCTTACATGACTGAACAGAAGGCAAGAAGAGGGAGCGAGTGTAGCGGCAGCGAGAGGCGGGACCTGAGCGGACCCTCAGAGAAACAGAGCGAGTAGTTGGAGGCGAGCGGCGGCGGCGACTCCTTCTAGATGTGAGGGTCACTAAAAAAACACCAAAGCAGAAGGAAAAACTGCAAAAATGCAACAGAGAAGAAGCAGAAGCTGAATCAAGTGAACAATGATTGTCTGGTACATTTGTCTGAGAACATTTCTTGCTCCTTGTTTCGATATTAGTCATTGGATTATAATATCTGGGGGGACAGGGGTGTCGGATTCAGGAATTTGCCCTGCAATCAGTTGACAGTTCGAGCCCGGACTCCAGCTCTCAGTGTCATTGTGTCCTTGGGAAAGACACATTACCTGCATTGCCTACTGATGGTGGTCAGAGGGCCCGATGGCGCCAATGTATGGCAACCTCGCTTCCGTCAATGAGCCCCAAGGCAGCTGTGGCTACAATGTAGCTCACCACCATCAGTGTGTGAAAGTGTGCGTGAATGACTGAATCTCCTGACTAGAAAAAGTGCAACCTAAGTACAGACCATTTACCATAATCTAGCACTGAGCTAAAACTGAAACACAGATGAACTGCAGAATAGCCTGTTCTGTACTTTTAAAAGTGATTTTTAAGAACCCTTAGAAAACCTTAGGTCCAACGTTACTGATGTTGCCGCATATATCAGATACACCTTCATTGGCCTGGGTTGTGTGCACATGCAAGAAATCTGTTTACTTGTTTTGTTTTTGCCATTAGCTCTCTGTAGCGACAACCTGAAGTTGATTTTCTTTTGCTCCAGACTTGAACAAGCAATGGATGGAGGGAAGGTCATCCCTGTTAATCCATTCTTATTATTCATTGCATTTTGGGCCTGCCTTATTTTGTAGATGAGTCAAACCTCTCAGATATGAAGTTCCAGATAAACACCAGTCTCTGAGGATGGTTGTAATACTTAAAAGTCTTTAATAGACCTTGTTCCAAAGAGTGCAGTTACTCGAGAGTAACCTCATTTGGGGAGTGGCTGACTAGTGGTTAGGACATTGCGCTTTGGATCCTGAGGATCGGAGTTCGAGCCCCACTCCCAAGGACTGCCAATGTGGGTCCCTGAGCAAAGACCCTTAACCCCACACTGCTACCCGGGCACCGCACAATGGCAGCCCACTGCTCCCCAAAGGGGATGGATTAAATGCAGAGAGTTCATTTCGTTGCTCTGTACTTGTCACAGTGTAATGACAATAAAATGCTGGGGGAAAAAAAAAGAAGAAAGGGTGGTTCCTAGTAACAGGATGTGGTTTACAATCCAGACACTTGTGTCGGAGAGAAGCGGTAGTGTGAGGGGTCTTCTTCGGAAACCCATTCTTATATCCACAAATTTTATCTTAGCTTGAATGGTACTCTGATACTTGAAAGGAAACAGACTGTTCAAAACACAAAGAAGGACCCAGTAATGTAAACTCCGCTTCCCATGCTGGAGACCCTCAGTGCAATTTCAGCTGCAGCCCTTTAGCACCCCCTGCTGTCATGATACATGTAGTCATTTAACAAAAGATCAGGTCTGTCTACATTTTTCCATTTGATGTTTACATAAAATGTTCTTGAAACTTAAAGAACTGCAGCAGCTTTTCTTTGTAGTAGCAGATTGGGAGCCCCGTACATGAAGGCTGTTGGTGCTTGATGAAGGCTTCAATTCCCCATCTTAAGACCTTTGCTGTATTTTCTCTCTCTTTCCATTTCCTGCTTCATTAGTACAAATAATATCCTCCTAAAAGAATTTGAATAGTAAAAATGGAGATATTACCATCTGCATCTTGGGAGGGTGGAGGTGGTGGGGGCGGGGCCAGCAGCTCTGAATCGTCATTAGGTAACGGCGGGAAGCCAATATCATCAGAAGGAGGAGGAGGGGATGGAGGTGGAAGGCTGTTCTCCTCCATCACTGAGGAAAGTTATTAGAGAAAAGCTCAAATAGAGATGCTAAGATTTCTCACTGGATCAGTAAAATCCAAACAAAGAGTCAGTTTTCCTGTAAATTACAGAGAATTACTAAAAAGGAAATGTGTGTTACCCTTTCTAAGAAATAGAAAAAATGAAAAAGTAAACCTAATCAAGCTGATTCACATGTTACTGGTCTGGGCTTAACCTGAACTGAATTCAACTGATTAATGTTAAAAACTGAGGAAGAAACCTGGCTAACTGGCCCATCTTCATTTAATCAGATTTAAGATAATTATGTTTCATAACTTAGTTTTTTTGTGATTTTCATTTGAGAGAAATGTTGCTTACAATGCTTGTACATCATTCAGAAACTGCTAAAAGCACATTGTATGATTGTTTTTTTGGTCAAATAACCACACTGTGATGTCATCACCTGTTTCTAAGCTAAGTGATGGGATTGGTGGAGGAGCTGGAGCCCCATGATTGATCACAGCCCCTGAAGATGGAGGAGGAGGAGGAGGAGGTGGAGGAGGAGCACTTTGACTGATCACAACCCCTGATGACGAAGGAGGAGGCGGTGGGGGAGGAGGAGCCGTAGGAGCCACCATCACACCTGAAGAATCAGGAGGAGGAGGAGGAGGGGGCAGCGCTGAGATGACATCATCGCTCTGGGGCAACAGCTCATCAGTTAGCAGAGGAGGGGGAAGAGGAGCCTCATCCAGCAAATTGGTGATGATGTCACACTCAGGTGGAGACTGCCAGGTGGCGGGGATGGTGGGCGGAGCTACAGGTTTGCCAAAGCTGGACCTGAAAGGCAGGAAGCGCACCTAGTCAGATTTATGATGTCATCATTACAGGATAATATAATATTTATCATGTTTCCTGATTGATAGAGTATTGCTCATTGCATTTGTCTGAATGTGGATAAAGCGATGTTCTACGGAGGCTGATCAGCTGATAGAACAGTCATTATCTTGGTGATCTCTGAAAATTACTCCTAAATCTCTCATTTCAAACATGGTGATGCAGATGGCCGCTCACACTGAGCCTGGTTCTGCTGGAGGTTTCTTCCTGTTAAAAGGGAGTTTTTCCTCTCCACTGTCGCTACAAGCATGCTTAGTGTGAGGGATTGCCTTCGAGTCAATGAGTCGATGCAATCAACTGGTTTTCCTTAGATAGAAAACTTTGAATAACTTTGACTGTATGCCTTGAAATTACGTGTTGTGATTTGGCAATAAGTAAATAAACTGAACTGAATAAATTGCCCAAACAGATGGGTCAGATTTGGCATGAGGGACCGAATATTCTCAAGCCAAGTTTGTTTTTAATAGATTGCGTGGAAGTAAGCTTATGCAAGTTTCCGGCCCGTTTGGTGCGTAATTATTATTATTATTAAAAATAAAGAATTAAAAATAATTCAGAAAAAAATACATCATTGTGCCAAAGGAGATATTTCAGTATATAAGTGTACTGTTGACACTTAACAGCCTAAACCAGCATGTTATAGGACTGTATGTATCTAGCATTCATTAAAAACGTACAAATGTAAATAACATTATAGCATTTGATTTTATAATATGTGCCTGTAATTATTTTGTTGAAGCTTTGTTAAATAAAGAAATGATTAAAAACTATAAAAAATGAATAAAGACATGTAGTCTTTGTGTTTTTTATATTGTAAATTAATTAAGTTAAATAAGTTTTTTCCACTCTGGACAGTTCAGCTGTGCACATCTTATCAGCCTGCAGCCTATATCAGACTGAAACATTGAGCCTTACCCTCCAACAGGGGGCGCAACGGGGCACTGAACTGGCTCTGGAGCTTTGTTGGACCTGAAACAGACACACATGCAACCACAGAAAGCCTTCCTGTGTGAGTCTCTGCCAAGAAAACAAGAAGCTGCTGTGAACAGAAGCTCAGCAGAGGAGAACCAAACCTGACGGAGGCTCCGTGTTTCCGGATCGTTCCCGTTTTCTCTGGCTGTTTCCCAGAGACCTGATGGGAAAAGGGGGGCAAACATAGAGCAGAGTGAGCATGAATGGAGCCCCTAAGTCTTTAGCAGCTCTAATTAGTCTCTCCAAACATTTTCCCACGGCCAACAAAGACCTCTGGGCCTGGGCTGTGTGTGTGCCTACTTGTTTATGTCACCTATTTAGGAGCTTTTCTGGTATATTTACTAACCTTCTGGGGACCGACAGGTTAGTTCTTATATGTTGGACCCCCATTTTTACTTTTAGTGGTTAAAGTAAGAGTTATTGTGTAAATAATCTTTAGGTTAAGGTTAAGATAAGTGTTTGGCAGAGGCATAAATACAGAAACTAAAATGAATGTCAATCAATGTGTTGAGTGACCCATTGTGTCCCCATATGGATAGAAATGAAAAACTTTGCTCTTGTGTGTGTGTGAGGTGTCTTGCTGACTCTGTGAGGTCCAGCAGCTCACATGAGTGTGGGTAGAAGTTTGTGTTAACAGGGCCGTCTGAGTGTGTGGCTTTGCTAAATTAGTCAGGCTTAGTTAGAGTCTGGGTTTGACCTGACAAAACAGAGGGTGTTTCCTCACAAAGAAACACGAACCTCTCTGTGTGGCTTATTATTATAATAATTATTATTTCTCTTAGGACTTTAACACAAACAAGCAACACGGTGACAAACAACTGCTTGTTTACAGATGCTCGGTTTCACGCTGAATGTTACCATTATGTAAAAAACCATAAAGGACAAATTAATCAGGTTTTAAATAAATTGGTGTGGCCATCATAAAAACATACCACAGCTTTTAGGTAGGAAACCGATGGTTTCCCCCTAATTGTTCATCGGTTTTCAGCAATTAGTGGGATATTTTATACAAACAACGTAAGAGTAGATACTGATAAAGAAATGTTCAATAATTTATTCATAGGCTATGACTGGAAAATGTGATCAAAGAGTGATAAACACTAGGAGTTCTTTTGGTTTTGTCATATTCGAATTTAATAAAACTGTGAGATTTCAGAATTTCTATTCATTATTTAATTACATGAATCATGAAAATACAATTAAACACAAACACACACAAGGTGGCGCCAGCTGAGAGTTTCAAGTAAGTGACCCTGGATGGCTTATAAAACTTTATCAAATGGAAAAATTATATCTAATAAGTCCTGATTGAGGCGTAATTATTTTTCCTGGTTGTAAGCCACACTGTCTGTACGTTAGAGTATAATCTTATTCAGCTTCTGCATTCTGTGAGTTCTGAAGACTTTGGCTGTTTTTTCAGTCAGTCTAGTTTATGATCATGGGACAACAATGTCCAACATAACTCTAAAAGCAATTGAATCAAACATGAAACCGATAAAAAAAAAAAAAGTCCTTTAGAAAACTCTACATGTAAACTGTCCCTGCACGCCCTGACCCCTGAGAGACGGATCATATTGTTTATGTTTGTTTATGTATTTAGCAGAGGCATTTATCCAGAAAGACTTTGGGACTAAAATGCAGTTTTCTGTCTGTCAAACTGTGATAGTTATGAATTTCTTTTAAATAATTTCAATATTCATAACCACAAGTAATCTGATTATATTCAAGCATGAGGACACTTAAAGCATTAGGGCCTCCTTTGAGGTGGAATGAGATATTTACACTATGCTGATAGTCTGAACACAGTAACCCTAAAACACACAGGAGGACCAACTACTGACCTGCAGAGACGCATGGACAGTCCCTGGTTTGATAGTTAAACTAAAAACCAAAGCAACAATCTGTTACAATCACATTGTTAAAATTCAGTGATTGTATGTTATTTATTATTTAATGAACACCATTTTATTTATTCTTAGATGTCGCATAAATAGATTTATGATGATCAGAGAGCAATAAAACTCTATTTGGGTTCATAATCTCAATTCAAACTGTTATTTGTTAAAATTCTGGTGAGAAAGAAAATCAAGCTAAGGTTTAAATTTAGGGTAAAAAGCAATAATTTTGCTTTGGTAGATGTTTAATGTTGCCAAGAGTCAATTGAGCATATTTAAGTGTAAAGCACATAAGTCAAGACTTCTGAACAGATCAGGTCAGTGAGGTGTTCCTTTATCTAATGCTGTTGGGATTATTTTTATTGATGACGTGTGAGTCTGTTAAACCCTCATAATACCTGCCTGGTACGTTCCAGAATTAATGTTTTCCCAAGCAGTTGATCTAATTAGGACAGTTCTTCTGCCAGGATAAAAGGTCATCTTCATTCTGTGCGTAGCAAAGATTGTGGAATGGAATGAGAGCGGTGTCCTTGTTTAAAACTGTTTAATATTTTGATTTGGATGGATCCATGGATGTCTCCTCATTTACAAACGTGTATGATGTATTGATGTAATGACATGGCAGACTGGAGTTGAATAAAATGTTTCTTTAACTGTGTTTTGGGGCTAACTTCATGGAGAAGCAAAGCTGGTTGGTAAGCAGCCGCCTTCTGTAACGCTAAGGAAATTTCTCAGTTCT